CAGCTGTTCAAACCCATCATATGATAGTGAGAGTTTGTTTAATTATTCACTGTCCACATAGAGATGCCAAACGTTTTGTCTTATTTATTATTTTTTGAATGAATATCACTTTTCATGGTCTACAGTTTGAAATTCAACCTGGAAAATAATTTCAGCAATATTCTAAGCTAAAACACTACTTACTTTGTTGTCAACGGCTTGAGAGATATTTTGTCTTGATAGACAACACAGTTGTTTTTCAATGGGTGATGGATTTTCTAGTTCACACGAAAACTCAGTGTCTTCCTGTCCATTCCGCTGAAGTTGACTAAAAGCTGTAATGTGATAGTCAATTAGGCATTATTTATTTTTCAAAAATAAACGTGAAGTGAGTGTTTGAATAATGACTACTGTACAATTGAACTACATGCATTCGAAGTAACAGAACACAATTCATTAAGAAAAGTTCTTCTCCATCAGTTAGTTTTCAGAGCTACACAAACTCAAGAATATAACAATGTTTGGCACATGCTTCATAGTGTATTTTAGTGGAAAACAAACGGTAACCTTGCTATGAAGCTCTGTAAGTTAAAGTTTATTAATATACAAAACTATATTTATCACATATGAATCCCATTTGACACGTTCATTAGGGACGTTTCAGCAAAGACTTGTAAGCTTATCAGCAATAAGATTTTCAACTTGCACTGTAATAAACTTAACTGTCATGGATTCCACTTTCAATGTTATCAGATAAATGCGTTTACTTTAGATCGATCAAAATACGATTGACCAAATAAAAACAACCACCTTCTTGTAGATCATGAGTGAATTTCTCATGAATGACAATTTTTCATTCTCCCTATTTTCATATGAAATGAGCCAGTTGTAAAAATCACACTGGTCCAGACTATTGAGTAGTCTACTAGATTCAGTTTAGACAGATTTGGGAACAGATCGGAAACAGCTCACATGCACAAACACAACACACTTAAGTTAGTCAAGTGCCAAGGACAATCAGATATTCAACTGTTAAATGCCCGTATTTAGTTCACAATATTTAGTTTTGTCAATCATAAGATTGAGCTAGATAAAATACGTTGAAATTTACCTGCAGATATCAGTTGACGACCAATAAGCCAACCGAGAATACCATATTTATAAGCCATTGAATCTGATGCATACGAAAACGGTGGATGCAACAATGCAGCTGACATACTAATCTTACCAGTTTCAGCAACACCAGATGTATTTGGCATGAAGATCTCATTTCTAATCATGTGTAAATATGAAAAGAACACAAATATACTCACTAAAATCGGTAAACGTAGAAATATTGAGAAGTGCTTAGATAGGCAGATCTGTCATTGAAATAATTTGGTGTAAGTCGTTTCAGTGACGAAGCCTTACATATCAATGTATAAAGTGCATATCCTGTTCCATAGATAAGGCTTTAACTACAATTACCGGACATGAGATATTCGTACTGCATACTCGTGAAGTAATGATCAGATTCACGGAAACTATGTTTCTTATATGAACCGACATCAGTGTACGGTTTTAGCAATCTTTAGTTTTAATTGCGAAATCACGAAACAGCTTTGTTAGTATGCTTCTTTCCATACAACAATTCGTCATCAACCTCCTACTGATGACTGATGGTTTGAGAGTAAACAGAAAGGAAGCATATTCATAAATATCTAGAAACTTAATTTTTGATCAGAATCGCTACATCGGTTTCGCATGTTCAATACACATTATTTCATAAATGATTGGAGAAAACCCTGAGTATCATGCTTTGTGTCCTCTTTTTCAGAGAAACCATCCTAAATGAAAAAGAAACATCAAGGCAGACCATCAAATGATTAATTGACCGTTCGATTTATTATTGCTTGTCAATCACTATGTAATAAACAGTATTTCTTCTATCAATATAAGACTTATTCTGTTTGAATACTAGGGTTATTTAAAATCACCAAACAAATATAACTAAATAATACAACTCACAAATCAACGTCATTCAAACCTGCATGCATTGATCTAAGAAATTCAGTCTTTTGGGAATAGTACTTATTCAAGTAGTAATTGTTGTGGGAAAAATTATTCTGAAACATAAATAAAATGATTTTACAAACTGTTTTCATAGTCACTGATTTGTTACTGGAAGGAAAGTGTCAGAAACCTAATTTCCCAAATGTTTGAACCCTTCGACCGCTATTTCAGCGAGCGCGGAATTCAGGTTAATGTGATTAACTTATGACTGCATGATTCTACGAAGATCTATCAACTACTCAAACAAAATTAATTTCACCCACAGGTTTTTGGAGAAATACATTTATCAAAAAATAATTCTTCTCTCAGTCGTAAATTTGTTATTTAAATAATTATAGAACTCGACAGTCTTCCACTGATAGACTAACATTGAGTGAAGATGCATAAACTTGAATATGATATCTGGCATAAAAAAGTTATATACTATTTGCTGATACTCTTCATGAAGTCAAAGTAATTATTAAATCTCTCCGATTCGCTCATGCCAATATGAATGAAAGAGACAGAGTTGAATTGGAAAGGAAGTCTCACTACAGAGTAGGTTGGAGAATGTTGTTATTCAACACATTTTTAATTAGACGGAAAATGCGTTAGTATGTCAGTAGGTAATGTCAATGATAAGTGGGGTTTACTGACACTTTACGAAAGAAAATTCAAAATCTCATGAAACTGATCGAATTTGTCAAAAGAACGAAATGCAAGCGAAAATAACAGAATCATGGATACGACAAACAAAACAATGGTCGTAATAGTAATCAACTACACCGAATTCATGAATAATCAACTAATCTCGAAAAATATGAGACAATGTTCATTGTAATTTAGTTAATTTTTAAGAAAAATAATTTCGTTCAGTACACGTACTGTGTTCTTGAATATTTAATCGATTGGGAGAAATGCATTTCTTGATAATTACATCATGCTACAAAGTAATTGATGCAAGTGATCCGGTTTGATTACCATGTAGGCGAGATATTCGTTTGCTAACCGAAGTACGGGTTTACTGCTCAGCAGTTTGCTCAGTCCCTCGTTTTATGGCTGCGAAACATGTCCAGTCAGAGTAGAAGAAAATCGTAGATTGCTTGTCTTTGATCACAGGCGTCTCGGAAGAATCTCTCGTGCATCCTGAATGAACTGAGTTACCAGTGCTGTTATTAGGTAATGGATCCCAGGTAAGGATGGCAGGTTAATAGATGAAGTAATGAAACTTCATCAGTTCAGATTGTTGAGACATGTGTATTATATGCCTAACCACTGATTGCCCCGTCGAGCTATGCTTTGTGATGTAGGAATAGGTTGGAAGAAAGCTTGGAGCGGCCAAACCAAAACAAAGCAGAAATTCATAAAATCATTGACAACTGGACTGAGCAATGTTGGTAGCTGTCGACTACCACTTATTCAGGGCTCGCAAGGTGATAGTAACTGATTGAAGGGAACCGCGAATGGCATGGCTGCAAACCGTTTGCAATGACAACTTCAACGTATGAACGAAGTTCTAGGTTGCTGTTGATTGATTGATATTCAATCATGCTTTTACGTCATAAAACAGTTTTGATTCAATTTCAGAATAGTAAAGTAAATACATGTGTTTACTCTAATCTGTTCATAGATAAAGATTATTTTATTTGTGCATGTTAACCAATAAATGTTTAATATTCATACTGAAAGTGAAGTGGATATATCTTTGTTACAAACGTAAATGTTATGCTACGAACTAACAGAAGTATCCCAATACGCGGATCAAGCTTATCGAATAGATCAATACTCATAATGAAGCTAGATCTTCACATGTTGGCTTGAAATGAGACTGGACTGCCAGATTACACAATTGCAGAAAAGGTGTTTAACTGGATAATAATAAATCATGTACCATGCTCTTTAACTTACATTGAACAAAGTGCTCACACCGACCATAAAGACAGGAAACAATAATTCTATTTACCGAGTTCAATTTCATTTCCCATTCTGTAAGACAGATGCCACTTAATCACCGACTCGTTAAACTGATTGTTTTCTAGAAAACTGTCTTCAGTCACCGTTATCAGTCATAAGATTGATGTTGCCATTATTATGTTAGACTATGTTCATCTGGTTAAAAACTTTTTTTATCCATTTTGATATAACTTTTCATCCGTCGAATTTCTAAAACTCCCTGCATCTTCTGAATCTATGCTTCTTCGGAAATGATTTTTATTACTTTTCCTTCTCTAAATAAATACGGACTCACTTCTCTGTTTTACGTTCGGAAATCGATATTCCAATCAAGATACATATATATATAATGAATATTTTAGGCCTACTAAGATACTGATCGTGGTGTTGACGTCCCTGTGCTGTAAGGCTTTACTATAAAGATTTCAGTGTCATTATGGATAACCTAAACGGCAGAGGTCAATGAATAACATGGTTTGAGTTCAACTAAAAGAGAAAATCAGCGTGAACCGGAGGAAAATATAAACAACAAAATTTATGGAGACGATCAATCATCAACATGGTGGTCGAAATGAGCTGACATGGTGCTTGTGGAATAGCTTGAAAACTCACTTATGTTGGAACGTTATTCTTATCCATGCACATATAAATTGATTCACTATTTTCCGTTATTCTTTACACCACTATTTTTGAGCTGTGTCACAAAGACAGGAAGTACCTGATTGGCTTGTTTATAAAGTGTTAGAATTTGATTGGTCATAGTTTACACGCTCTCATGAATATTTGTGGACGATGTAGGGGTATCAATGATTGCCTTTCAATGGTTGTCTGACAACCAAATTATAATGAAGCTCAGTATCTCATTCATGGTTCAAGGTGCTTATACACTTGTGCATCTATGAATCTAAAACAGGAGTATCTTTTATTCATCAGTGGCAAAGAAGTTAAACGGTGAACGGATTGATAGTTGACGTGATACTGCCTGAATCGTATGCAGTGAATCATTTTTTAAGCTAGTTCATTAATCGTTAAGTCAGTCAAAATATAATAAACAATTTAAGTTTTACACATAAAGAACGTACTTTGAATATTAGATCTCGGTTCTTTCTTTCATTTTCTCTCAACGATTTTGAAGTAATTATGGATAAACTAGTTTTATTAACCTGAACAATGTATTGGATTAATGTTTGCATGATTCAATAAAATTAAACAAACCAAATCAACAGCCCTTCTTTGGTCATCTTCTTTGTTCCATAACTTTAGTGAAAATGAATCAACGAATGTTTTCTTCAAATTACTGAACATTTCATTGACCTTGACAACAAAAACAGGTATATTGATCAAAAAGACAGCTTGAAAAATTCAAACAGTTACTGTATATTAATGATCAACCATGGAAGAATCATGAAATATCACACAGAACAGATTACATTCAACATATCCCTTAATTGTTATAGTTCCAGATGCATCGAAGTAAAGTTATTCAAATATATATCTGTATAAACATAAATTTGAACAATATGTATAAAATAGTTGGTCGCATTTGAAACATACCTCGTTTATCGCAGTTTCATCTATATCTGAATATTCGTGATACTTGAAATTTTCTTTCACTTCGTCAATACAAGTGGAGAAATCTTCATCCGAAATTTTGTGGAATGATATTGAAAAATTGTTACATATACGTCAAATAATATAAAAGGCAGATTTATTCGAAAGCTTTGATTGAGATTAACTAACTATTCAACAATCAACAAACTATTTCGCTTTCAAACCACAACGTTCATGGTGATCTTAATTGCTATACTGCATCCAGACAACGTTTTTCACTTTCAGTATAGCTTGAAATCACGAACAATCATAAATACGCAATGAAAAACTATAGTATATTGTCCATCACACATACCAGTACCTAATAAATGTGGAAATAGGAAGAGTAGTCTGACTGAATGAGAGACACACGATCTTCATTATACCTCATATATGAGTGGGGCTAGTTAAATTTGTTATTTATTTTACACATTGCTCAACCAGGTCACCGAATTATTTTGCTCAGCTTTGACTGAATACTGTGTGCATATTTCATATTCTGTGTATCATTGTTGAAATGAACATTCATTTCTATATATTTCAATGTGTATATCAATGTTTTGTGTATTTAAAAACTGAAATACGAGACAAGGCATTCAAAGTAGAACAGATCGATAATTTACTGCAGTTGTGTAATCGACAACTGTACTCACAGTTATCATTAGTATCAGGTTTCAAATTTTCAAAGAATTGTTTTAGAACGAACTTGAGTAACTCTCTACAAAGAAGATTAAAAAAACATGTATTTAGGCTATAGTCAGAGAAAAATCAATGCGCAATAGTAAGAGAACTTAACAAATCAAAACCTATGTTGAAAGTACTGATTAGCATCGAGAGGTACATAAATATCATTTCAATATTAGCTTTGATTTAAATAATCAACACTCATATCTCAAATAATTCCATGAAGTGGAAGAGAAAGATGATGATTATGTATTACTTAGTCGAGCTGGTGTTTATGTGATAGTGAATCCTAGATTCATGACAAGAGTGTGCACACAGATTTTTGACATCGGCTAGAATGCTAAACGTTGAGTATTAGGTAATAAAAGTGTATCTTGAGTACTGAGTTCGGTTTTTTATTATACGCTTTGTGTTCTCATCACCAAAACACACCAGCTATGATCCAATACAATGCTGTTATACTGCTTACAAGTGAGACTAGCTTCAAGGTAGTTACTGTTATACTCTGGACATGAACAGCAAAATGCTTCAGATACACAAGGAGTTTTATAATAGGCACTGATAGGATGGAAATCTCGTGTACACAGGATCGTTAACGGAATCTCCGAGACAAAGAAAGAGGACATCACAGTGAACGTCATCCGATTCTATGCACCTACCAATGACTACAATGACTACGATGAAGATCAATCCTAGTAAAGACGACCAGTGTCGCAGCAGCCTCTGCAGCAGTAGGTCTCAACATACGTAAAGGAAAAAGCGAAATTCTCCAATGCGACAAAACATACACCAACCAAATCACGCTTGGCGGAGATCTTCGGAGGACGTTGAAACCTTTATATATCTTGACAAAATCATCGACAACCAATGTGGATCTGATGCAGATGTGATTGCGCGGATCGGTAAAGCAAGGGCTGCATTTCTACAGATAAAAGGTATCTGGAACTCCAAGGAACTTTCAACCAAAACCAAAATCAGTATTTTCAACACAAATGTCAAGACAGTACTACTATATGTAGCAGAAACTTGGAGAACTACCGAAAGCATCATCCACAAGATACAAGTGTTAATTAAACGTTGCCTACGCAAAATACTTCGGATTCGTTGGCCAGACACTATGAGCAACAACGTACTGTGGGAGAGGACAAACAAGATTTCAGTGGATGAGGAATTCAGGAATAAGCGGTGGAAGTGGATAGGACACACACTACGAAAAGCACCTAACTGGGTCACAAGATAAGCATTCACATGGAACTCCCAAGGCAAAATGCAACATTACGCCGAGAAAAAGATAAAGATGAGAAGAATGAACAAACATTGGACAGATCTGCAGAGGTAAGTCCAGGACAGAGTTGGTTGGCAAAAACTGCTCGGCGATCAATTCTCATTTGCAGGTAACATAATTAAGTATTTACTTCATTAATCTGGTTATTCTCTCAACTTAATAATCTTGTCTGATTTCGAAATAGAACCGGGGCTGCAGGCAGATAAGTGTCTGTACATAATTATACATGTTTAATTCTTATGACGCATCCAAATAAACACGATTATTGATATGAGATGAAAGTAATATCAAACAATCGTTTTGTTTTTTTATAAGAAATGAACGAAATTCTTTACTTTCGTGCTTTTTTTAACCATCTTGAGTACTGGATAATTTTTTGTCATTGCGTGTACTACAACAGCAAAGATTTTTGGTAACAGTGATAAATATCGTTTCGCAAAACACAAAACTAAATATCTAAAAAATACCTTCGTCCATCCAAGGTTTTGATCTCTTTACCGGTCGTATCACACAACACCTTCAAGTCAGCTTTGTCTTCTACAACAATATCCAAATTCATGTATGATTCATACTCGATTTCATGGAATACACTTTTAAATATAACAGCCCAATCGACCTAGTCAAAATAAATAATTTGTAGTAAATTCATAAATTTAATGAAACATTTTGTGCACGGTGTGATCGGTTTCACATGCATTTCCAATATTCGCATAATTATTATGTTGTCGTGCACAGTTTAAAACGTCGACGCTTTAGTCACTTCAATGGACTACATACTCCAACCGACCGTCAGTACAGTACATTTCTACGAAAACTGTTGATCCGAATGCAACAATATTGTCAAATAAAAAATGTAGTAATTTCCCCTTATACGGAATGGGAAACTTAGGGAGAATCTCTTGATAATTAGCTGAGATAGTTGTAAATGCATATCCCTTATTTTTAATCGTTTTAAATGTACTGAGGATGACATTTATTTTAATGCAATGGAGTTACAAAATATTACTTTAGGGTTACATTGTTTGTCAACTTACTAGGGGACAGATTCTTTTCAGATCACCTATTACAACATTTGCTTTAGTTTTCTTGTCTAAATTTATCTGAAAAAAGACAGTATAATAACTTGAATAACTTAATCAACAGTTCGATGGACTATGTGTAGACAAAATACAGCACTATCGTTCAGAATTGTCATTGATTTCGAAACTACAGCCAAAGCGATGTTCAGTGATCCTTCGTTTGAACTCATTTTCGAAATGGCGATCATTACTGATATTAATTTCATACTTTGAACTTTGTAGTCCGCATTGGATGATCTAGCTATGTATCAACCTGATGTTTTTCAAAACTATTCACATCAGTGATACGTAACGATGCATATGACTTGAAATATCATTTGGAGAAAATTTAATAACTTCACAGCTGTTCCTCTTACCAAACTAAAGGTATTATTCGACGTTATTCACTCTCATAAAAGTAGAATTTATTTCCTATAACTAATCTGTTAGATTATGTGTATACTGATAATCATATTGTTGGCTATAATTATGAATATCTCATAAGTAAAAGCAAATGTCAAATTCAATACGAACAAAGTGATAAATATTTCCACCCATATTAGGGTGCCTTTGGTTACTACTGTCTACTAAATTGTCTCTGGATACAATTATTGCAACAACTACAACGTTCACAGTACAGAGTTATTTTTCTGCAGACGTTTTCTGCAAAGGTTCACGTCTTTAAACATAGGCAATATGTTGGGTTACCAAATATGTCAAACTGTCCATTATCTGGTATGATTTCTAATTTTTAAAAGAGTCAGCCAGTGACATTTAGTACAAAAATATATATCAATAGGCACACGAAACTCTGTTTGATCTCACACGTTTCAAATGGTTGAATATTCGTACTATTGATGGTGATAGCCGGCAGAATTTTAACTTGCCGAGACAAGCACTATACTACATATATCCATCAAGGCTTTAGAATAAAGAGAATAGCTGGTATAATTACAGGTTACCACCTGCTTATCGTCAGTAAAATAAAATAAAAGTGACAGCAGAGTTACACACCTCATAATCGACACATAGTTCTACAACTTATTCTGCGTCCCCGCACGACCAAGATAAATCATTTGACAGTTTGAAACGTGGGACGGTGTTTAGTAGTTTCTGACACAGTACGGAACTCAAAAGGATCCTCGAAATCAGACAACCCTATGGACGCACTGAACACAACATTGTCCATTGACAGAAGCTAGAAAATGCATTTCCAATAAAGAGTAGTATCAGGAAAGACAGACAGTTCTCACCCATTTTCTCATCCGCCACTGCTTTTTCAAAATCTTTCAGGACCCTTGACCGTAAACCATCAGCAATAGCTCAGTTACGTAGAGAACGAACCAGAGAACAAACGCTCTCCCGAAATATCAAGTCACATCTTCGTAAAGGCCTGAACATGGAATCTTCAAGTCAAAGGTAAATGTTACACAACAACAAACAGTCGGGTTTCGGAAATGTTGGCAAATGTCAACATCATGAATAGCTTTCGGCACCTAGTAGGAAGGAGGGCAGAAGATAATACTTGGTACGATAATGGTGTGAAGCTGTTCAAATTCCAACAATAACATCAATGAACTTAGCATTTTATTACTGAAATTATTACATGAATGTCTCTGAACTTTGCCAACTAGTTGACATTAATTCCACTGACTCTTCCAATTTTTTGAAACCGCATGTAACACGAAACTACGTTCAGGCAATATTTGTCTTATTACCAGAATAAATATGTATAAATAATGTTCAAATAATCGTACCGATTTTCCATGAAGTTTCTCATACGGTGCCATAGAAATCTGAAAGAACAAAGTCACATTTACTTCTCAAAATAGTTGAAATGTAATATAGCATGTGTTAAGGCAAATGTTCGAGAACAGCAGGCGTTCATTTGTGAAACATTCCATATAACTTTACATTCACACTTCTTTTTGCTTTTTCTGCAGAAAACAAATATATTCGCCTTGATTTAGCAGAAAACCGTCGACTGTCAAATGGAGTGAGTTGGTTTGTCAATTATGGGTGTACAGACTTTGATTAACATTACAAGATTACATGCCTATCTCTTAGGGATTCCCATAGCTTGAATGAAGATAAACGAAAACGTAAAACTGATCTTTACTGATGCAGTATATCTTCGAATGATTTTAGCAACACAAAGTGGAAGAAACAATTCGAAGAAACCATCGGACTGAAATCACACCTGTTCTTCACAGTTGCGTCTCATTAGACAATGGAATTGCGAAAATGTTCACTACCACACAGTATTATAACAATCAAGATAACGATGTCTCTAGGAATGCTGTAGTGTCATCAGTCAGTAGACTGAATGTTAATCTTTTTACGGTGAAATCTGGATCTCTTACTAGTTATTCATTTTAGTAATCATTTCGTTATTCACCTTTTATTCAATGAAACCTCAAACAAGGCATTCAGATTATATATGTGAATCTCAAAATTGCATGCAAATAACAAATCATGTATTTTTCAAAAACATACATGTATATATGGTTTCTTATTCTCCTTATCACGTGGAACTGGCCTAATTGAAAATGAACCTCCACTTCTACTTTGGAATATCAATGGTAAAACTAAACTAGTAAGATTGAATTTCTCCTGCTCCTCGAATTCGATTTGGTAAGTAGAACCTAACGGTTTAAGTCGTACTTTGAATAGTAACATGGTCAATTCATTTACATTCTCCTCACTTAAAGATTCGGATATATTGATGACATTTGTGCACATCTTGAAGTACGTTCTAGCTGCATCAATACTTGATCCACTTGCATACGATGTATTTTCCACTTAAAACAAAAGAAAACAATAAATTACCAACCTCAAATAAGTTTCAAAAACGGTCATTTTTTCACTGGAAACTAACGTTGGAACGAAATAGCTACACGGCTGAACATGAAAATTTTTTGTAAAACGTATCACTTAATTTTCAGAAATATCATACCTAACTTTCTTTCCCATTGCAGTTCATATATCAATCATCATTTCATGCATTCAGAAAAGATACTCAGAATTCTGTTCGCCAAGAAGCAATATATAGTCAAACATATTTCATAAGTAAACACAGGTTTTGATGAATACACACTCTGTAATCATGGTACTTTGTGGCCTAGTCGGGATACCACGTTTCTTAAAAGGTCAATCGAAGCGATAAGACGAGAAATAAAATACAGCACATAGACTTTTCAACTTCTGATTAAGTAAACACAACATTCTTTCATATTTTCATGCATCAATAAAGATGATAATAATTGGTTTGATGAATGATTCAGCTAATGTTAAAAAAGAGTTCAGGTGCACAAAATATGCATGACGTAAACTTTGGTTTCTTGTCGATTTGATTCAGTTTAATCACCAAACAACTAACGACAGAAGCAAATTATTTGGTGCATTTTAGCTAATGAATATTTTTTAAATAGTCTGTCTCACTGATGAATAATAACAACACTAGTATTTACTTGCTAGTTTTAATTCCGTTAGGGAAACAGTTTACACTACTTTGCTTCCTTAATAGGATTATTCAGTTCTAGCATAAAACACATGGTGAAAATAATATTGTCTGATAAAATTATAAAATTTGATGCAGATTGCATTTGGTGCATGGAGTGTCTGTCAATGTTTGATGAACCCTGAAGTCAACCTTTTGAAATTTCGAATATTTGAATTGGAGATTACTGACCTTCATTCAATCAACTTAATGACGTAAATAAAACGACAATTGTCAAACGACAACCTAAATGCTCGTAATACTTTACTTGACATTTACTCGTTAATGTGTAGTATATTTCATTCAAAGAGAATTCTTCCAAAATAATCTTATCTAGTTTTTCCTTATTACTCATGATCAGAACTGATGGCAAGTGATCAAAAAGAACAAACAATAATCTACCGTATGAGCACAACTATTTTCAAACTCTAATAAACTAATGAATTCAACAACACAACCATTGAATTATCCATATAAGTGACAAGTATGTTTCGAAATAAAAAGCGACCGTAATCTGTGTGTTATTATGGATGGTTAATAATATCGTGTTCAAATAAAATTTATCAAATAACGAAACGTATTTTAGACTCACGTGTATCTTTCATGTTTTCATTTATATTAGATAAAGAAACTTTGATATTATGTCGTCCCGATGAGTGACATACGGATTCCGCGTAGTCAACACAGGATGCAGTAACATTCGCTGCATAAGCAAACGTTAAAAAAACACATGTAAATTTGATCAATATTCGAAACGGATAAGAATGGAAAGAGAGAATTGAGAAACACGATAAGGAAGTGGTTAGTAAAAAAATTAAAACATTAACCAAGAGGCACCAGCCAAAACGTAGAAATAATAAGTGATGAAAAACGGAAAAATGGTGAATACATAATGCAGGATTATTGAGATTTTCCATAGGCAGTCGACATAAACATTTCACTAAAATCATCATCATGCATTAAGGTAATTTAGTCGAGTTAAGAGGGTAATGAGAAGTGAAATAAGAATCTAGTGGACTGAATTAATTTCATGCACTCTTTCAAAAGGACAAACAATTGGATGAGAAGGAGAAACGTGAGGTGACCTGGATAACTCATATTTGCAAACTCCGTCTGATGAAGCGTGACTGACTACCTATAGTCAGAAGAAAATTAGCCAGCGACTTAAAAGGTTCGACAGTTGAACAATGATTCAGATGAAGACCACTTTGAAAAGCGAAAGTAAAAGTTTAGTGATTATATATAAATATAAATATATATATATATATATATATATATATATATATATATATATATATACGGGAATGCGAAATTATTTCAGGTAAACAACATTCCATGATAAATTTTATCACAATATCAAATGACACTAAGAAATAATACGCTTCATTATGATTTGACCAGTTTGAAAAATGCTTGTTAATAAAAATTCTATCAAGAGTAAGTGTACAAGGAGGACGGTATTCTTCTTGACTCAACAAAATTTCATTCGCTTAGAAACTTCAGTGTCATAAATGAATTAACAAAAACTCAAACAAAAATACATCAATGTATTCAACGTTCAGATAAACATACCCTTAGACGTTTTCCTGAGGAAAATTACGAGTAAAACTGTTCCTGTCACTGTGGCACATACTGCAGTGATTAGAAGAACAGCTATAATAATTTTCTGTCGCTTAGATAATTCGGAGATAAGCATCATCTTTGTTAACATACGTTGAACCAATCCTTATATATATATATATATATATATATATATATATATATATATATATATATATATATATTATCAAAAGAATTGACCGTATTTAGAAAAAAAGTTTCTAAAATTTTGCTAGGTCACAATGTCAGGAACACAGCAACATCGTATCATCTCATTTAATCAAGGACTAATTAAGTGAATTCCAAAGTTGCATTATATCATACATTATATCTTTCAATAATTTACTTATGAGAAATATGAAAAAATTCTAACTAGCACTGTGTCAACTGGTAAGAGAAATCATAATTTCTCTGAGAATAATATTATTGATTACATTGTACCCACTACTCTCTAATTAGAGTTAGAATTCTAATTATCTTTCTTCAGCATTCCAAGCTGCGGAGATATTTAACATAAACTTACATTGTAATAACCTCTGTTATTTTTCACATTTGTCATAATACCACTCAAATTGTACAGTCACTGTCAGTAACGGTAACATTGTTGTTTAAACCGAATCTTGGTATTCAAGTGTGAGTTATTCGGTACTTGTTGTGTTGTGTCAAAGATTCTTGCTCTTCCTACCGTGTTTGTTATGATCTACTTCTGAACAGGCTGCTGCTAAACTGGTCATCTTTTGTTGAATATGTTGTCGTGTAAGCGATATAAGAGCCAAACCAGCTGCAAAGTCCAGATAGTCGAGCTGTGCAGCGTATCCTGTGCTTTCTCCAGATGTTGACGTTTTTCTAATTCAGTTGATCAACTAGATGTTTACCGACCTGTAGTCCAGGATTTGTCGAGATTCAGGTTCATCGTGGTCATAAGCAGGTGATTATGTGTGGCAAAATGAGCTCACGTCTTGATTCTCCGGTCCTCCATGTTCAATTTTAACTTTTAATTGATACATATATGGTTGATTTGGTTCCATGTAGCTTTGTGTATACATATGTGTGGAACTATTGTGCCACCCATATTCCCAATTTGTTGAAAGCACATCGGTGTGCAAGTCTCTAACCGTTTCGGTTCCTTTCTCCAAGTCCATGAAGTCTAATCATGTCTTCATATACAGTACTGTTCATTCCACCCTTGGCATTGACGTCTGTCCTCACAGTGATCGAATCCTTTCTTGAGCATTCCTTGACAATTAGCTGAAGCCTCTCATAAAATTTATCCCTAACATCCTCATTGCAGTCGTCAATGGACACATACCACTGAATCATATTCATTGTGATCGCATATTTCTTTGTTTTGATGAATGCCTTATTGATCCTGTGTCCACCAGAGTTCCATCATATCAGTGCATTTCACACTTCTGTACAGCATTAGTGCTACTCGTTGTTTGTGTGAAGCATTTTCTTATTCATATCCGGAGTATCACAAAAGAAGGCACGAACAACCACAGTATTGAAATTACTGACATCTCTTAGAGATTGAAACAATAGCTGAAATTTAATTTACTAACTGATGCTAATTATTGATGAGAACAGTTCAGTTAAATGATCATTTTTTTATTACTTCTGGTGAATAGACATGATAATACAAAATTAAAGACACGCGAAGAACAGCAGTCAAATAACATAGTTTATTCTATCGAGATAAGAAATGAAAGTTGTATTTGTCAACTGATTCCATAGACTGGATAATACAAGTTAGTACACAAAATACAATTACTCCTGATTACCGCACTGATGACACAATAAGGTCAAACATTGGACAGTTACGCATTAATTCTGGCTTAGATACATTTGAAGAATATATTGATTTCTTTAATATGTGGTCTTGGAACTGGTTTGTTATCAAATGTAATGAACGGTATGATCATTTCTGCACAACCTCTTATGCAGCAAGTTTAAAAGATAGAAGATATCACGTTGTGAAGGTGTCTAGTTACTAAATCACAAATAACCTTGTTTACTGGTAACAAAATTACACTTTTGGTGACAAAATCTAGAAAAAATTACCGATTTCTCATTCTCACTCATTTTGATGAAAGTTAATTGATTAAACTGACATTGTCAATCTTGAAGTATTATTTATCTTCAGTTTATTTTGAAAATAAAGTATCATGGTTTGATAATAACTAATTGATCATTCAACCTCCCCTGTTATACTTGTGAATACATAGTAATATTTTGAGCACTTATCAAACATTCATTCTTCATTTATGAGTGATAAAATGAGAGAACATTTCACATGCAAGATCATGAGGTACGGGAATGAAAAATTATAACCAGAAAACAATATTCCATGATAAATTTTATCACAATATCATATGACACTATGAACTATTACGTTTCATTATGATTTGATCTGGTTGAAGAATGCCTGTTAACAAAAATTCTATCAAGAGTAAGTGTACAAGGAGGACGGTATTCTTCTTGACTCAACAAAATTTCATTCGCTTAGAAACTTCAGTGTCATAAATGAATTAACAAAAACTCAAACAAAAATACATCAATGTATTCAACGTTCAGATAAACATACCCTTAGACGTTTTCCTGAGGAAAATTACGAGTAAAACTGTTCCTGTCACTGTGGCACATA